TTTGAATACCTATGCAAATACTATTCAAAATCTTTTCATAGTCTTGACATAGCTATATATTTGCTATGCAATAGAAAGTTCTGCTTTTCCTTCCGATTAGCATCCTATGTATTCACTATGCATCAAAGTAAAATAGGTTTTACATACCATTTCGATCTTCACTTTTATTTCCAACAAGTTTCTTAGCTTTTACATAGTGCTATGTATATTCTATGCTATGTGATGAAACATATTTGCAGCCTATGTATTCACTACTGATGTGACATTTTCATTTAGCTTTATCATGAGATAAAGGCTACATAGCTTTTACATAAACATATTTTTTCCTATGTCACTCATGTGAAAAATATATGTAGTCTATGCGTTTCCTATGTCATATTCCAACATAGCTTTTAAGTGACTAGGCATGTTGATAGTAGCGCTTACAGAAGGCTAAGCATACTTCCAAAGTAAAAAGCAGTGTTTTAAACTAAAACACTGAAAAATCATGTACTACAATTTTTTTTTGTGCTTGCAGATAGTTTCTTAGTGAGAAGACTTTTGTTAATCATTGAATCGCTACATCCATCATCCCTGTCTTAACTTTCCTTTCTAGCTTTTCCCTAGAGTTCTTCACTTGAAATGATAGTTCCATGCATCATTTTCTTCTTTTACATTGGGTTCGATCCTTCGTCTTGATTGTGGACGTCTCCTGAATATAACTGCATGGTCAAAACTGCGAAACGCTACCTGCCTCGGTGGATGTTTGTCAGCCATTTTGTTTCCACTAGTTCCCAGGGAAGCCCGTGAGTTCAACACATGCGTATTTTGCGTTTTATCGTCACGTGGGCCTTTTCAACCAATGAAAAGGTGTGAAAATTGTCTGTTTCCACGCGGGCGCTTTCAAGTCAAAGAAGACGAGCTGTAAGCGTGCGTTTTTACAAGAAGACGCTTCTTTTTACTTCAATTTACAGTCTTTTTCCTGCCAGGTTCAACAAAAAGTATTCCTAACGTTGGTAAGTGATGTTTTTCTCAATTAAGTTTCGATTTGCCTGTGTTGTCTCCCCTTTTCGCGTATCTGAACAAGGATCGGTCGATCACTCACGCTTTGATACTCCTTCGTTTCAATTCTAAAACGTCAGGTAGTTTTTATGTTGATTCGCCTTAAAATCTCCACTTTTCTGTTTGCAGATACTTATTCGTTGCAGTCAAAAGGAAACTGTATGGCACTGAAGAGCACGACATCAGCCAAAAGTCTACACGATAAGCAAACTTAAACTTGGGGTTTCGATTCTGAAACCTCCATGAAAATACTGCATTTGTGTTACTATTAGTGTTCGTGGTATTATATTGCCATAGTTTTTCAATTTTTCGTTTCAAAACCTATTTCTTACCAATGCAAAAGGTATTCTAATTCATATTTTTATACTATTCTTACTATTTTGGTGATTTTTACGAACGTATTTTAAACACTAGATTTGCTTAAGCAGATCGAAACCTGCATACATAAGAGACTATGTCAATTCTATGTAATTTCTGTTTGATCTCTAGTTAAAGCTTGTGTATGTGATATGTTTTACCTATTCAAATACTATTAAAATCCTATTTCAAACCTATGCAAAGACTATTTGTTCTGTGTTTTCCCTATTTTAATGCTATGCAAAGTATATGTCACCTTTAAAAAGGCTATGTTTTTCATATGTTTTTTCTATTTCTAGGCTATCTAAATTCTAAGCAAACCCTATTCAGAAGCTATTTAATCAACTGTTCCCTGTTCCATTTTCCTATGTAAACTCTATTTCAGTCCTATGTGAAGGCTATTTATTTTCTATGATTTTTCTATCAGGTTGACTATGAAGTCTAAAATCTCTTTCCACAAGCTAAGTAAACTGTATGTATAGGCTATGTGGAAACTATGTCATTTCTTCCTTTATTCCTACCTCTAAAAACTGCATAGCTTTTAAATAGGTTCCGTTTGACTAGCGAAAACATAGCATTTTCGATACAAAAAACATAGTCCTGGCATAGAAAAAACATAGGATCTGGTTAAAGCAATGTATGAGTGATTAACATAGGTTTTGCATAGCTTTGTGACATAGCATTTGCATAGATTCTACATAGTGTCTGATTCTACAAGGGTAGATAGCAACGGACCAGTACGAGTTAGATTCTGTGGTGGTCACAGGGGCACCCAACGACAATTTTCGGAAAATTATCTGTTCGGAAGACGACTTGAGATCTAGAATTTTCGGATCATTTTTTGTAAAATTTGTTGCTTGCCTGCCTCTCCTAGGATTTTCGGACATCTAAAAAATGGTATAATTGCCTATTTTTAACGGATTTTTACCCTAAAAAGGTCACCTAGAATTTTCGGAAGCCTTGTTTCTGGCTGAAATTTTCGAAAAGGTAAGCTTTGATCCCTATAAATATCGGATCACTAGACTCTTAGCTAGGAAATCCGAACAGATGAAAACTTTTTAGGGGATAAAAATATGCTTTTATCTACCGTTTAAATACTAAAATACGTTCAAAAATGCCGCGTTTACGTGGTTTTGAACTACATTCTCGTTGGGTGCCCCTGTGGTCATGTTTATGAACTGTTTGTGTTTGAGCATATTTTGGAAAATAGCAGAGTTTATTTTCCCTTGTTATTCACGGACTGCTTACAATGGAGCAGAATACCAATGACACTTGGTTCTGTTTTTCTCGACGTCGCAGTGATTTGGCCCCGGCACGATCGAACAAATTTGCACAATCAATGTGTGTTTCGTTTCAACACGGAGGCATCAATAAACGGCGTCTCTTGTCCTGTCAGCATGCGATCTAAATTACAAAGATCAGTAGCGAGAGACAAGTTGTTAGTAAATTGAAACAGTCCTGGTCTTTACCTTTGGTCTAAAGTTTTGTAGGTCGTGTCTTAAATAAGTCTGATTTATTTTGTTGACTACGACAATATGTTGGTGAATTTTTGTTAGCGCTATATTTTTATGAATGGCACGCGTTTTTACCTCAAAACTACAAGTAAAATTGTCTTACCACTTTTATTCTCGACGAAGAATTTGAGTGAACTCTTTCTAGCATAACCAGAATGGAAACGTTCCGTAAATGCTATCAAAAGATGAGTTATCCAAACTTGTAAACGTCTTATTAAACATTTCGGAGCTTTGGACGTGACAGGAAGTCACGCATTAAAAACAATAGAATTTGACAGTTAAAAGTAATTTGCATAACCTCAACGCGCATGCTCTCCAGCTGACATAGTCCCTTTAATTAGTGGATGGTACAAAGCGTTAGGATAGTCCTTCCCGGGGGGGGGGGGGTACTCCCATACATTACCTATACGGGTATGTGCCGCCGAACGGGGTCGTGATTTTGAAGCTCCTGATTTAGAACGGGGTATCCATTTCAGAGGCGTTTTCTAGAACGGGGTATAAAAAATTGTGGATCACGGCTTTATCTTCTGCTTAAAATTGCCGCTGATTATGAAGAAGCATTTATTTGATGTATAAGTCGAACAAATAAAGAAATATCTTTTTTAAAAAAACAGGGCAATTTCAAGTTACAAACTTTCTAGAACGGAGTACTATAAAAAATTGGCCCATTTCTAGAACGGGGTATCAGTTTTAGGGCGAATTCTAGAACGGGGTATAAAAAGTTGGCCCATTTCTAGAATGGGGTATCAATTTTAGGGAAAACTTTTTTTAGTACGGGGTGCCAATTTGGAGTCCCGGGCGGCACATACCCACCCAAAAAATACCTAAGTGCCCCACCCCCTGGGAGTCCTTCTGTCGCCTTCTCCCAAACTATTCCCCGCCCCCTAAGTAGATTTGACACTCATTGCATCCAAGATGGCCGCCCGTAACGCAAAGTGCTCGATCTCGACGATCTTACGGAAAAATAGGGGACTCTGAGTAGTCTAGCTTGATTCCGCTACCTTGAACAACAGACCACGACACATACTACGGGCGTGACAGTCACGCTATGCGTCATGTCAATCTTTACCTTTAGCAATTATTCAAAACTGAAAGACGGTGGTCACCGACAACTGACGTGATTACTCGGTTACTGACACTTCTTTGTAATTCAGTATTTCAGACAACAAGCCAAAACCTCAGGATGTATCTAATATCTCCTGGGGTTACTCATTCATGTGATTTGATGCAAATACCTTCACTTTGATTAATCTACTACACCATCATATCCACAATAATATCTATAATATCCACCATATTATCTACATAAGTCCTGATCGCACCTTTTAAGGTCAAACACATGACAGATATTGCTCACATGATTAGCGGGCGTTTCTTTGGGATAATCCAAAATTACATTATCGAACACAGGTTATTTGAATTCGTTACAACGAAAGAAACGGAAAATCCGATAATGGGTCTTTAGGACGTTTAGCATATGGTGCGAACCGTAGAGGCGTGGTTGGCCAACCGCCACCGTGTGTGCTTTCTTTCGGATTAGTGACGAAAGAAAGGCACGCTGAGTCTGGGTCATGAATCCTAAAAATCCAGATTAAGATCTGTTCTGATGAATCCATAGTCCTTTACGGTCGTCACGCATAGGAGAAAAAGCGTTGGGTGACGACCCTAAAAATGGCCGCGAAGAAGACTAATGAATACACTCAGTTTGTGGATTCTTCAGATTAAGAATTGAATCTCTACTGGATTTCAGTAAATGAACATTGGGTCCGTTTTTGAATTTGGACTTTCCCAAAGATACCCTAGTCTTTTTAGGCACGCCCATAATAAGATGACAACTGCTTTGTATCCTTATATGAAAAGCGTAAAGGTTATGTTACAAAGGACGATTCGCAACGACTATTTTTTACGCAACACAGCATTGCAATGTTGCAACCATTTGAATCAATGTCGCAACAATGTTGCAACGCTGTGTTGCGCTAAAAATCGTTGTTGCGAATCGTCCCCTGTAACATCACCTTAAATCGCATATTATATGGCTGATTGCTACTTGGCACTTGACAGAGACTGATCTTGCTTTTCCATGTAGCCAAAAGTCCAGACTTCAACGCCAAGACAAACGAAATCCTCGGTGGCGGAAAGCATCTCGCTGTCATAAGTTTCGCAAGCAGTGCTTCTACCATGATACAGATCACTGTCTAACCAAAGCCCAAATTTCCCCCTGAAAATTAACAAAAATTTAATAGTGATCAAGGTACTTCATAGTCTTTAACGCAGCCGTTCTTTGTGTCCTCGCGTCAGCATACTAGGGGCGCTTACTATTTGTCAGTTTTGGCTGACTAGAGCAGCCCGATCAAAAAGAGAATTCACTATTAATCATAACCGTTACAATTTCCTCAAATTTGATTGGTGCGTTGACTGCTTTATTTTTCACAAATCATTGTGTACGGTTGTAATCGGACAGTTGACTGTAATCGGACACCTTTAATCGCAGAATTTATCACTATAACCTAAGCAAAAATGGACGAATTTGTAACATTACCCAATGTCTCTTCGATATTTTTCCTAATTTTGGATAATTGGTATTAAAAGCTCTTTCACAAAAACAAAATGCATTTGTTTTCTGGAAAATTGTAATGATTATGATAAAATTGTAACAGAACTTCGATTTGTATCGTCCAATTCGGTCTGTAATCATACCCGTGATTAAACAAATCGGACTCCCGCGATTTTGTTAATCCGTATGACTCCTATGATTACAGAAAAAATTTCGAGAAAAGACTTATGTTTCACGTTTCAATTACTCAAACATCTGGTCGGCCAGTTCTGACTTTTGAAAAGCGTTCTTGGTACTTCGTCGCGTGAACAGACCCATCATGTTTTTTCTAACATAACAGAACATAATAGAACGGGCTGTTGGTCCTAAAAGTCCTTCGAAGCCATGTAAAGCTGTTATAAAATCAAAAGACAGATCCAAATGTTGCATCTAGCAATGTGGGCAGTTTTGGACCAACTTAAAGGCCCAAAGAACAAAGGCGGGTTGAGGTTTAGGCAATTAGACACAAAAAAATGAAAATAGTCAAACGAAGAAGGGTTTTAATATAAAAGACATGAACTCATCAACACGCAACCTCGTTCCCACGGTTCTTTCCTACCCGTGACATGGGAACGACTCGGTTGAGCAACACATAACTCAACTAGAGACTGAAGATCATCGCTTTGTCGATTAAAATAAGTTTTATTTCATTGATGTATTTTACTAATCATTATTAAATTCATAAACAAAATAGTATAGTGTACGCATTGTTCGTCAATACCCGGAAAGGAAGAGTGCCATATAAAAACACCGAAAAGAAAAACACTTACTCACTGCTTCCGAAGGCAAGTCCATTTGCATCTCCTGTCATGTAGTAAGAATTTCTTTCACGGCATGGATAAATCTACAAAAAGAGCCAAGCAAATGTAGAGACCTGTATCCCTAACTACATGTGATATTGTGAGGCTACGTTACCCTGGCTCCAGAAGTCCGTTCTTGAAATACCTAGGATAAAATATACCGTGCTTACGGTTTGATAAGGCTCCCGAGACGGACTTTTCTATCTTTCGGCGCTCGTTGACGTCTCTCGGCGCTTCGCGCCTTGTTGACACGGCTTCGCCGCGAAACATTTGTATCGATATGAAAAAATGTCCTCTGGAACCTAGGGTAAGACTACGTGCGCCCCGATAATGAACATAACTTTTCGACCAGGTAAGGGAATCCAGATTCCGGAATCCGCAAAATGTTTGTTTCTGGAATCCGGAATTCGAGAATTTTATCCGGTGGAATCTGGAATCCCGGGTTTTGGAATCCAAAACTACAGCTCAAGGAAACCGGAATCGCGTTAACTATTGGAATCCGGAATCCAAGTTCTATTAACAAGGAAGCCGAAATCCAAAATTCGAGACTGTCTTCGATTCGCCGACACAGAGCGAATAAATATCGCGTGTTTTTAAAGAATCACAGTGATACAAGGAAAAAGAGCAATTGGGACAAGGAATGGGACAAGGAAAACGTCTCAGCCCTCAAACACCATGCCACCAATTTACTTTATGGGAGAAGTCGTTTGAGAGCTAAGTCGGTTACTAAATTCACTGACATGCCGCGTCCTGTATACTGCTTGGATGAAGTGAAAAATGTCTTAAGAGTGGTTGTCAGAGAAAACCGGGCAAAATGTTCAAAATGTCAACGGAAGGGGGTCAACAGAATAAGCTCATACTAACATCATAGATAGGTTAGGTGGAGTAATGGACAAATATAATAAGCATAGGTTCTTCACTGCTTTGTATTAGAGATACGAGCATCACTTTATTTGACCACTTCGGACGCCATTTTTGTAAGCAAATTTTGACCATTTTCTGAAGCTAACAAACCCCTCAAAATTAAACTACAGAAGTTCATTTTTTGTATGCGATACAACACAACACAGGACTATCTTCGAAAACCATAAGCATTGTTAAGTGGCTACGGGCAAGACTAAAACTTTCTTATTTTATCTGACCTAAACTCAGTGTCTGCAAGCGAATAAAAAATCGGTCGTTTTTGAATTGATCTGTAGCGCACAACTAAAAGGATAATAAAACTCTGACAACCAAATTGCAGTCTACAATCATCCATGTTACCAAAACACTAATAATCATTTTGGCTCGTTGGAAAAGGAAGAAATTAGAAAACTCACATTTGTCATAGGTACCAACCTTTTTTTTGACGATAGGCCGATCCCTTCTTGTTCGTTTTAAGTCCTCTTGATGATTTTTGTTCCCTATTTCGCTGTCAGCTATGGTCAGCAAGTAGAGGAAATATCAAAAAGTTCGAAATACTGTCACTGTAACATCTTGGAACGACAAAAAGTGCTTAACCATGGGATAAAACTAGAAAATAACAGAGCGACGCCATCTTGAAAGTTCAGTGCTCGGGAGGGAGTGGCACTAGTTTTTGACAAGACGACGAAAAATAAGGTAAAAGACAGAAACAAACGACTCAATAAACAAATGCCCACTTCGTATGCAAATCACAAACAAACCCTTATCAGCTACTTGCTCCAATATTACTTCTCTGTTTACTACATTTGGTTCGTGCACTTCTGGGTCGTCATTTTTTTGCGGAGTGTATGGAGTGGAGAATATGATGGGCTATTAACCTGGGACTTCTCTTTCTGTCTGGGAGGCGAAAAAGAAAAATAAGAACTCCTGATCGCAGGTTAATGGGTGATTAACTCGACGTACTTCATCCGCTCTTCATTTTGAGTTATCCCGTGAATGTGGATAACATTCACCTTATGCCTTACTGGGAATCAATTCACCTCATTTCATAGCTTGCGCGGGAGCCTTTTTTCAGGTCTGTAGGTTTTGCGGTCTGGTTTGTGGGACTTATAAGGTATTCAAAATTCGTGCCAAAATTGTTCTAAAAATGGACTGGTTATTAAAAGCGCCGTGACACGACTACATAGAAGCTGCTCGCTCCGGGTTATGTGACTCGAATTACTTCACCCGCTCTTCATTTTGAGTTATCCCGTGATTGTGGATAACATTCACCCTAAGGCTTACTGGGAGTCAATTCACCTCCTGATGTTTTTTCTTCCCTATTTCACTATGGTCAGCAAGTGAATTCCACAAAACTCGAAATACTGCCATTGTTGTTTTTTAAAACAGCAAAAAGTGCTGAACAATTGGATACAATTAAAATATAAAAAGGGACGCCATCGTAGAAATCCAGTACTCGGAAGGGACAGGTACTAGTACTTGACTTGTCTCCAAACGGAAACTAGATGGTCTCATTTGGAGGCGAGACAAACTATGCAAATACAGATCATGAAGTACATACAAACAAAGCAACAATCAGTTATTATCTACGTGCTCCAAGTTTGATTTCTGTTAATTACTCTTGGTAGTTAAATTTAAGGAGTATGGTGACGGGTGATTAACTGGCTGATTAACTCATTCGCTCTTTCACTTCATTTTGAGTTATCCCGTAAAAGTCATAACATTTCTTTCTTTCAACTCTTTGGTCTTTAATTTACTTTTAGGATTAGAGGTATTGACTTTTTTATTATATCCGTGAAATGGTGCGTCATTCTCCGATCACCGTCCACGTCTGAACATCCACTCGTCTCCCATTCCTTTCAAGCACGGGCTCCGTAATAAATGATGTTGCTGGTGACCCTTTTTCTTCTACCTTAGATGAAACGGCAGGCGCGTTCCTTATGATAGCCTGCAGTATGCAGGAAGGCTCCGCCCAAAAGGCTACGTCTTTCAGGCGTTAGGAATAATATGGGGTGCTTTCCATTATAACAAAATTTTCGGAAATTTCGGTCGAGAAATAAATGGGACGCCTTGGTTGGTCCGGTCCCACCGAAACTTCCCGTTCCATTGCCAAAAATTTTCGTTTTCAGTCCTACCTTGCTAAGCAGCAATCAAAATTTCGGTCGAAACGCAAATGAATCGTTTCGATGCGATTGAAACGTTGTTTCAAAAGAACACTGTCGCTCCATTTTGTCTTGATCATTCCACTTATCATGAAGGTTTAGTTTGGCAAATGGAAAGCGCTCATAGCCTGCGATGCAGACGGCCCATGCACGCATAGCCTGGACCATTGGTATAGTCCGTCTAGCCCGCGAATAGCCCACGTTCGATATATTAAAATTCTAACATGACTTTTTTTCCAATAGTCCTCTTGTGACGTTGTGTTGCACCGAGTTATAAAACACAACTCCTTATTTATTTTGCTGTTGTCATCTACTATCCCTGAGTTTTCACAATCGCGTTTTTTACTTTAAATGGAGTTTCTGTGTTTCCCTGGAAAGCTAGCTCTTACCCAATTACCCCTCCTAGTCACTAACAAAATATGACCAACCCTCACTCCCCACTGACATTTACATGAATTCAACCCCATTATACCGTAAAGTTTTAAGACGGCTGCGCAAGGAACAGTACCCTAAAACTACCTTCGACGGTAGCCGTCCATTTCAGAATAGGCCGTTTGCGCGTAGTCTTCTGAATCGTCTTGTGAATATCTGGATTGCAGCTCCCAATTATTTGCGTCACGCAGGAGCCCATAACCTGGAGCGAGCAGCTTCTATGTAGTCATGTCACGGCGTTTTAACTAACAAGTTTATTTTTAGAACAACTTTGGCGCGAATTTTGAATACCTTATAAGTCCCACAAACCAGACCGCAAAACCTACAGACCTGAAAAAGGGCTCCTGAGCAAGCTATGAAACGAGGTGAATTGATTCCCAGTAAGGCATAAGGTCAATGTTATCCACATTCACGGGATAACTCAAAATGAAGAGCGGATGGAGTACGTCGAGTTAATCACCCATTAACCTGTGATCAGGAGTTCTTATTTTTCTTTTTCGCCTCCCAAACGGAAAGAGAAGTCCCAGGTTAATAGCCCATTATATTCTCCACTCCATACACTCCGCAAAAAAATGACGACCCAGAAGTGCACGAACGAAATGTAGTAAACAGAGAAGTAATATTGGAGCAAGTAGCTGATAAGGGTTTGTTTGTGATTTGTTAAAGAAGCGTGCATTTATTTACTGAGTCGTTTGTTTCTGTCTTTTACCTTATTTTTCGTCGTCTTGTCAGCTACTAGTGCCAGTCCCTCCCGAGCACTGAACTTTCAAGATGGCGTCGCTTTGTTATTTTCTAGTTTTATCCCATGGTTTAGCACTTTTCGCCGTTCCAAGATGTTACAGTGACAGTATTTCGAACTTTTTGATATTTCCTCTACCTGCTGACCATAGCTGACAGCGACATAGGGAACAAAAATCATCAAGAGGACTTAAAACGAACAAGAAGGGATCGGCCTATCTTCAAGAAAAAGGTTGGTACCTACGACAAATGTGAGTTTTCTAATTTCTTCCTTTTCCAACGAGCCAAAATGATTATTAGTGTTTTGGTAACATGGGTGATTGTAGACTGCAATTTGGCTGTCAGAGTTTTATTATCCCTTTAGTTATGCGCTACAGATCAATTCAAAAACGACCGATTTTTGATTCGCTTGCAGATACTGAGTTTAGGTCAGGTAAAATAAGAAAGTTTTAGTCTTGCCCGTGGCTACTTAACAATGTTTATGGTTTTCGAAGATAGTCCTGTGTTGTGTTGTATCGCATACAAAAAATGAACTTCGCTAGTTTAATTTTGAGGAGTTTGTTGGCTTCAGAAAATGGTCAAAATTTGCTTACAAAAATGGCGTCCGAAGGGGTCAAATAAAGTGATGCTCGTATCTCTAATACAAAGCAGTGAAGAACCTATGCTTATTATATTTGTCCATTGATCCACCTAACCTATCTATGATGTTAGTATGAGCTTATTCTGTTGACCCCCTTCCGTTGACATTTTGAACATTTTGCCCGGTTTTCTCTGACAACCGCTATTTAAAAGGGTCTCGTGTGTAGGTGAAGAAAAAACGTTGGTGGAAAGAACTGGTCGTCCGCCAGATGAAACATTGGGCAATATATTCAGTTTTCGGTCTTATCGCTAAGTTTACCTTGAACTGTGGTCTACAAGTGAAGAAATATGATTTTCCAAACCTACAGAAACTAGCGTCCATCCGAGGAGAAATTGGAGAAAAAAAACCAAACACCTAATAAACAAATGTTAACAAAAAGAACTGGATTTCATTTTCAAAATGTATGATACTGGAAATATAGACGCCCCAAATTAACCGTGTACGTGTGTGATGGAGGGACCCACTATCTGTATCTCTTGCGATCTTTTCACTTTTGTGGAAAGTTACCTATGATGTAAATGTTGTGCAGAAGACAGAAATCGTTCGAAGAAGGCGAAACATGAGAGCCATTTCGTCATATAGGTCAGGGATTCATGCACAAGGCTTGAAGCTAGGTCTATGCTAGTTGGACTGCCTGAACCCGAAACACAAACATCCGAGTTTGGTCGCGTGCCCTAAAATATGAATTCGTAAGCTAAAGTGAACAGTGCGAATTAATTTTTTCCATTTGGCTGTGTTTGTGTAAACGCCTACAGGTCCGAATACCCTATAGCTAAATGTAATAAATTCCGGAAACATTTCTCCTCTAGTATAATTATAGCTTGAGGAAGAAATTCCGATGATGACATATAATGCAACGTTTTTCATCGTTAACTTTCTTTAAAAAAATTCGAACAAAGTGTACTTAAAGACCAACAAAAAGAAAAAGTATTGGAAATTAGGAAAGAGTGATGGAAAAAAAACTCCTAAATGCTATTGTATATTAATTAATCAAGGTAATAGGACTAAATGGAGTCCAATTCGTTCACATGAGATGATTAACGTCGTAGTCCGATTTGTTTAATCACGAGTAAATTAGAACACAAGAAATTCCGACTGTTTTTTGCTAGCAGTGAAAACAAAGCTATTTAAGTGCGCGCGCGTGATGGCGCGTACTGTCCAATTACTTAGGCAGCACTGTTCTATTTCACCGTCAGTTGATAGGCAATCAAATTTGAGAATTTTGTTATAGTTATGATCAATACGAAAATAGGTTCCAGATGACACTGTATAAATAGCCGGCTCACTTACAAATCCCTCTTGAGCCTTTACTACCAAGAGAACAGAAGTTTTCACGTCTCTCAGCCTATGATAGAGCATATTCAGGCTCATACCATGTTGATTTGTACCATAGACCAGTATCCAGGTAGATGATGGGACATGCCGTGAGAGCTAAAGGAAAATTATTAAAAGAAGGTATGACTGTGCGGACTTGCAAGCAGAATTTTGGCTTCTGTTATTCAAACGTAAGATAGCGCTCAGCCTGTTCCAGTTCAGATTGTGTGAATGACGCAAAGCGATGTTAGCAGGATGAACAGCGAAGGGGTGGGGTAGGGGGTAAGAGCGAAGGAGTTCACTCCTATCCCCCTCTCATCCTCCTTATTTTTCCCCGCTCTTTGACTCCTTTACGTCACCCTCCAGTATCTAAACGCCTAGAACAGGCCAGATAGCGCTATCCACCGGATAGGTCACTACCCAGTGAATAGGTATTTTGAAATCCAATTGTGGTTAGTAATTTACTCCATGCACAGCACTATCCACCTTTTGAACAACTAGAGCGAGGTAAGCCCGCGTTCTCTCAGTGGATAGGTATTTTGAAATCCAATTGCGCTAAGGGACCGGTCGTGGGGTAGGATTTTGCGCTGAACAAGGTGAAATTTTGCCGATCCCCTTTTTGAATGTTAATTCACTGAAGTGATCCCCCCTAATAACAATTGATGACTTTTGAGATCCCACCCCCCATGTCTTCATTTGCAAGCAAATTTGAGTGGTCCTCCCTCTGAATCCTTCCAAAGTTTTTAGCGATCCCCCCGTTTGGGTTCTCAGTTACGACTGATCCCCCCTTTTTTTCTTCCAAAAATCAAGTGATCCCCCCTAAAATCCTCCCCGCCCCCAGGCGATAAATAATGACCGGTCTCTTACCACTGGATAGTAATTTATTCGGTGCAGCACTATCCACCTTTTGAGCCACTAGGGCGAGGTATAAGCCCGCGTTCTCGACCGCACCAGCCTCAGGGTCGCAATTGAGATAACTGAGGAAAATGCGCTACCTTTGCTCTGGTTTTGCAATTAGTTAAACTTTATAGTCTTCTCAGATGAAGAAGGAAAATCGTAGGCCCCGTCTCGTAACACTTGAACTATGATATGTATAATATCCACTAAAGAAACGTAGCAAACTCTAGAAGTAACCATATCCCATCTGTCAAGGGTTGTGGAGTTGGCACCCTCGTTACAAACAAGGGCAACTCGTTTGTAACCCACCTCAAATGGGCAGGTATGTTCCAAGTAAAACTGAACGAAATCCCAGAGAACATAAACTTTTATATAGTTCAGAACTTGACAGTCCACCATATATTACCACACGACAAGGAGAATACAGCGATTCAGACCATGCACATTGCAAAACAAATATTCTATTCAAAGAGAACAGACGGCAAATTGTTGTTGCTCAAAATATGTAAAAGTCGTAAATGATTGATAACTTATCAATATCTTCCTCTGTTAAAAGATGGGATTCTTCGTCGAGTGACTGTTCTACTGTACTTGAGCAAGCCGAGCTACAGAGGAAAAGAGAAAATTATGAAAAAGCATTACATCACTAAAGGAGACAGTGTTTTATCATACATCGCACACTGTTGAAAGGAAGATTAGCACTGAAATATTTTCGACGAACTTCAAGGTCTTTGATATTGTGATGGGACAACAGGATTCGCTCCGACGAAGGGATAGCCCCCGAGGGGTATCCTGGGAGTTCTTGGTGGGGATGTGCCGCCCTGTTCTCCGAATCCTTGCCCTATTTTAGTCCAAAATATGTTATTTTGCTGCATAAGCAGAAAATATATCATCATCACTTAGATTAGAACGCTAACAAGAAATTTCTTAAAATCCATTTCGAATGCGCATGTTTTTGTTTCTTTCTTACCCATTTGGAACTTCCCCTATAGTTCCCTCGAAAACTATGCCTTATTCCAGATCAGACCAACTGGTCTATACCCGTTTTCGGGCCGAAAAGGCCCACATACTCTTTGGGGCGGCACAGACCTATGTGACTTGTATAAGGGAGATTACCAACCTACAAATTACAGGTTTATAAACACAGCGAGGTGGTTGTAACCCATAAACTACTGGATTGTAATAAAATAGTTGTAACTTTGAAATTACTGGTTGGGAGAGTTGGGGTACAGGAGTTGAGGACTTATTTCTAACGGAAGAGGTTCATTTCTTAAGGAAACTCTCACTTCTGCGATAGAGGTTTAGTTCCACGGAAAAAGGGTGTTTCTTTGAAGGATGCTCACTTCTACGGAGAAGGCGTATTTCTACGGAGAAGGCGGTTCTCTATGAAAAAGGAGCAATTCTGAAGACGAGATCAATTTTAAAACTATAGGCTTATTACTTGTAGAAACAGCCTCGTTGTATATTGTGAAGCTGTTGCACTCGGCTACCGTAATAAAACTACTGTTTCGCTTCTCTAACTTATCTCCTTTTAGCATCTTCGTAAGTCCGCATCTGTTAAAAGGAGTAATTAAAAACAAATCATCATCGGTCATTAATACGCTGGGTAACAGAAGGTTTTTTCTCGCGTGTAGCGAGGAGCATCTTCGACCATAGGCCGACACGTCCTATACCAAAGACACGAGCGGTCCAATCACGAGTGATCAAATTGCGTTCTGTGCATTCCATTCATTCTTAGTGGAAGTCCAAAAGAATGCTGGCTACGCATGCGTAACAACAACCTGGAGATTACGATTGCTGGCAACGCATGCGTAACAACTACCTGGAGATTACGATTGCTGGCTCCTCTTGTCGCTCACAATAGCGCACTTCTTAAAAGAGTGATAGCCTGGAACCCAAACTAAGCGCACGCTCATTTTTGGGATAGTCTGGGGGAACATGTCGAGCAGCTACCTTGAATTATGACGAGACATGCAAGTTGTTGACATGTGTTTTTTGTGCACAAATAACTTCAGAAACTTCCCAGTCCGCGCGTAATTACCTTTGTCCGAGCTGCGTTTTCTTTCCGGTTGTTTTGGCTCCACGGCAAAGAAGCCATCTCTGGAGGTGTTTCACGGTGCATTCTTCTGGTTTTTCTTGAAATTGCCCCAGTCACATCTTCTTCCTCCAGCTTCACATTTTCATGATTTTTTTTCCAATTCCGCCTTCCGTTTTGCTATTTTGCGCTGTTTTAACTCTGTTGAAACATTCCACCTCGTTTTCCGTCATGTTTCACTTACATTTGGGTCCCCAAATAATCCCATAAATGCCCGCGCTTAGTTTGGGCCCCAGGCTATCACTCTTTTCCGAAGTGAGCTATTAACGTGTGGACTGGGAAAGTTATACCGCAGCTCCTGGCGCCCTCGCGCGCGAGCGGAGCCCCATAGCTAAGAAAATTTGGTAAACCATCCATCCGGGAGATTTTGATTGTGACGTCTGCGTACGCCAGCCAGTACACTCTTAGCGGGGCGGGAGAAGGGAAGGGAATCAGGTGTCAGCCCGTCGGGGGGAGGTGTCTGTTATATTTTCTTGGCGGGAAATCGTGCAACATTTCTGCAACCCGCGTTTTTCTTGGCGGGAAATTGCGTAAGAAATGGAGTGGCCATTGTCGTCGCGTTCAATTACTTGTTTTCTAGTATTTCATGACAAAGCTGAATAACGTCTGCGCATGTGCAAAGACGGGAGAGGTCTGGGAGCTAAACTAGTATCGTTTACAAAAGAATTTTCAAAAGATCCTCACATTTTGGCGATTTTTCAGATGGATTCTGAATATTTAACGTTCCCATTTAAAGCAAAAGTAGATTATTTCAGACTTCATTCAATTCTCGTTTATATTTTTGTAAATTTTCTTATATTTTTGGCTATGAACAAAAGAAGATGCACGTTTAAAGGAGAACAGTTCTTTCATTGGAATGTTTACATGTTCAAACGTAAACAGAAATGAACGACGGCTTATCAACATGTGATCAGCCGGGCATCTCATATCAGTGTCAGTATTAAAGGAACATTTTGATATTTATCTTTATTTTTCCTTGTAAGAACAAAAAAAATTCCCTGAGGTTTCTCTTCTTTCTTCCACTGTCCAGCTATTGCAATCAGATTTACTAATAAAGTACATACTAGACTACAAATCTAGGCCACCAAAATTTCGTGCTGAATCTAAATAGTTTAATTCAGTCTTGCTCTGGTGCATGGAGCGTATGAAAAACCATCTTCCGCAGTTGCTTAGTCTCTGAACAAGAGCAAGCCTAACCTGCCATTTTTCGGTCTTGGCTCCAATAGCAGAGTACCAGAAACACGAACTTTGACGGAACTGTATTCAGAGTTTTTCCTTAACTTATCGAATCAGAAAGAAACTATCGGCTAGATATAAAGGGGTATATAACATACTTTTGACAAAACAGTAGCAAGGTGCGCACTGGAAACACTTTTGCTGCTGAAAATGAGCCTAAACAAACCTCTCATTAATTTTATTTCGTTAAGAACTATTTAACCGAAAGGTTTACTTGGAAAAATATTGGAAATGGTTTATAATTTATGAAATCGTGTTGGCATTTTTCTTTTTTTGGTTTGTTTGTTTGTTTCTTTTTTTGCTGTAAATAGACTTCTTTCGTCTCCTGTATAAATCTCTCCAAAAAGAACTTAGAAAACATTGCAGCAGAGATAATGAAAAAAGTCCTTGATCTCAAAAGACAAAAAAAATGCAAGCGTTTGCTGTCTTGTTTATTGACCACAGATATGCAAAGGCATCTTTCTGTGGCATTACTGAAAAACCCTGCCCTTCTTAAGCACACCGCAAGTTAATAAGGGAACGTTAATTTTTTACGAGGTAGTGGGGGCTGGTGGGATTGGGGGTCACCCCCCAGAAAAAAAAATAAAAAACGACTTGAAAGGGGTGGGCATCCGCCAAAAAAATGGAGGGAAGGGAGGGTCACGCGAAATATTTTAGTTCATGTAGAGTTGACAAGATGTTTTATTACTAAATAAAACTACATATACAGAAACAAGCAAAAGGTATATAAATGTATCAAAAACTTTTGTTCTGCATTTACATGACAGCGTTCAGTTCCACGACAACAATTCTCAAAGCTAGGAAACTATCATTAAAAGATTCTTTATCAGGTTAGTGCTGTGCAACGTCTCTCTGCTCATGTTCCTCTCCGTCATCATTGCCAAGCTCT